TCGTGCTTGTCTTCTAATACTAGGGGCGCTATGCATAATAGTTTTTTTTACAGTACTGGTTTAAAGTATAAAAATCTAGCCTACTTCTGTGCTGTTACGTAAACAATAGATTTAATGTTTCCCGAAAAAGTCAGAATATAAACAATAAAAAGGCAACACAATAGAAGGGTGGGAGGGGTTGGGCAATGACCTCGAAAGGAGCCCAGGTAACGGGTAGCAACAATGAGTCGAGTAGGCCTTGAGGGGGGAAGGGGTGGGTACGACCTTGAAGCTATATATAGACTTGCACTACTTCCCTAAATCTAAAGGACTGGCGAGTAGTATTCCAATCACAGGACAAGATACGTTGTTTTTCGGGTATTCATTGCCCGGTTTGGCTTTGGATTGTCTTATTGTGTAGAAACTTTGAATAATCAAAAATAAAATTAGAACTAACCACGATTATTTAGCATTGATTGTGTATATTATATTATAGGGACCAGGGAAAAATACAAACTTTTGTCATGATTTGAATTTCAACATCAAAATACAATATTGCACAATCATGATATTTTAGGTCATTGACCTTTATTATGCATCCGGTATTGCTGTTTCAGAAGAGAAGCACGTTGATAAATTATAAATTGATATTCCCTTGGTTAAAAAGAATTATTTTATAAACCTATAAAACAAAATCATATAATCTTACATAAAAATAATAACAATAACAGCAATTGTAAAAAGGGTATTAAGATAACAACGTCATTATACTTTCTCTTTGTTCTTCTATTTCTTGGGTTTCCCTTCATCACGCATTCAACAAGTTGCCTAGTTGCCATGGTTACTAATCACCCATGACGTTATCAGCTTTTGTGACATAGCGCACAGCAGGGGGTAAAACTTGATGAAAATCAAATTACCAATGTACTTTATTGGTACTGTATTAATAAATTGGCCAATTTTTGTCAAATTTTACACCAAATTTATTGAAATTTCAAGGTGAATATCAAAAAACAATTATTACCAAATATTTTTATTCATTTAAAAGATTGATTTGTGGTATTGGGTTCCCCACTGTGCAGCCGAGCGGCACTAATGAGGGTTGAATCGCCTTGGGGGTGAACAATAGACGGCTTATCCGACCCTCCCCAGTGGTCTGGAGAAAGCTTGTAAAAAAACTATTGCACAAGTGTGACTTGACATTGGGCTGCTTCAACTTTATTTTTTTCAAATGAACTGTGATGTTTAAAATCAAAAACAATAATTTGGGACCATACTGCATAACAATATAATGGACTGCAATAATTGTTGAATATACAATCCATTTTTAACAAACTAAGATTATAGGTACTATTCAAATACAATTTTAAAAACTATCTTGGTATTTACTTGGGGTAATGAAGTAATGTAGGCTAGTGTAATTCTCGGTTCATCAAGGTTCTACTGAATTATGTTTGGCAGTGAATAAGTTTAGAATTAAATTTATAAATTCAGGGATACACACCTTTTACAGAGTTATAAAGCCTAATTGCCCTAATTAACTTGCCCCAACATCAAATCTAGAGCACAGCTTAGTGCATTAGTGGTGTTTTCTAAACTTGGCAAACTCGCAGAATGCCACTTAAGGCCAATAATCCGTTCCAAAAACGTAAGGAAATACAATGTGAAAATAAACTTGAGATAGAACTCCTTGTCTTGTGAGAACCAGGAAACAACATAAAACATAACATCAAGTAAACAAGCCCAAATGTTTTGACATCAGTTCTGCTGAGCTAAAGTGTTGTGTGAAGATTTCGGCTTCTAGTGTACTTAATTCAAGCAACCAACATTTGAAAATAGATGTTGTGAATTGTGATTTTCAAGAGAGAAAAAACTGTGGACGTGGCTAATTTGAAATTCTATGATTCAAAATCGTCATTTAAGATTATTTACACAGCTTTACAGTGTTTTATAGGTTAAAAATGCATATGCAGCTTATTATTAACCGCGCCCAACTATCCGAATCCAAACCTTCCAATATCCGATCCGATCCGAACCGAGCCTCAACTATCCGATCCGAAATGAAATTTCACTATCCGCACACCTCTAGTCCTGTTCACTTTTTACTGCTACTTTTCAATAAATACGTGGAATAATAAAAACTAGAGTACCCTGAAATTCATTTTTTATTAAACTTATATGTATTTTGGCACTAAGACCATGTGTGGCTAAGCCATGAGACTGTATATAACAAATGTTTTTATTTACATCTGATTGAGACAGGTGATTTGTTGTGATTGTAAATAAACTATTAACTTTTTGAAAAAAAAACTAAACTGGAAGAAATAAGTGCATTTTATTCTTTTTACTTAAACTTAACTCAATCCTCAATATATAATTTCGCGTCGTGGTAGCAGAGCGTGGTCATTGAAGTCTCCAAGCCAAACTACTGTGTCACATCACAAAAACATTGAAGCTCCAAGCCAAACTACTGTGTCTGATCACAAGAACATTGACAGTTCCAATCCAAACTACTGTGTCGCAGCCCAAAAACTTTGAAGCTCCAATCCAAACTACTGTGTCGCATCACAAGAACATTGAAGCTTCAATGTAATGTATAAAACATTACAAAAAAAATTTTCTAAAATTTTTGTGGAGTTAACATTTCTCAAAAATTAGGAAATAAATGAAAAAAAAAATTATGTTTGCGCTCAATAAATTTTGATAATTTTAGGTCTACAAATATTTTAAAATAGCCACTTTGTTAAAAATGTTATGAGGATTCCTTTTTTTTCTTTTTTTTCCTAAGGACGCTAGGCACGAGCCTGGGATTGTTTTTCACATTACTTCAGGCTAGACCTAGGGGTTGCGGCATTATCACTTAGATAAAATCCATTGGTGACTTGGCAGGGAAGTAGGTTTGCAAATAAATAAGTTATGGGTGAGAAACAGATTTCATACATTTAGCGTTAGCTAAGAATACATAGCCTAACCATAGCTAGGAATCTGGCGGATAATTTACATCAATATCACTACCTCCTTCTTCAGGATCATCAACCAGCCCTTCAAAATCACTTAAATCTTTTTATAATGCACCACGTATATCACTACTTTTTATTTTTAACACTAAAACAATGATAAACGTAATAAAACACATCAGTCATCGGTGCGAGGTTAACCAAGTTGTTTACAAATACGCACGTCATCTGTCTGCTACAATATTTTCGGAACTAAAATGAAAAGCGTCTAGAAACAGACATCAGGAGAAAGCTTACAATCTGCTGAAAACAACGATACCAATCTCGATCTAGTTCAATCTGATTCAGTCAGTCCCAGAGTCTTCGCCGTAAACGATGTTTGTGTGTCGCAAAAGCGACGCATAACACCACGGCAGGTGTGTTGTGCTTCGATTACACGACGCTTAACACTCGGAGGGTTAAAAAAGAAATAATTTTGTGTGTTGAAGTGTTGTTGTATTGCTAATGGTTACGTAGATAATTAAAAAAATTTAAAATTTAAAATTCCTATGTCATTCTTTTGGGAAATAAATAAACTGTTGTAATTAGCTTGTTTTTGTATATATTTTAATCAAATTTGGAAATTTTATTTATTTCATACTAAACTATCAACATTTCAATAATAAAACACATCTAAATACCTTCCCTGTAGCAGCAAATCTAAGTACTCACTAAAATTAATGTTATTTAAATCTTACTAATATTATAAATGTGAAAGTTTGTGTGTTTGTTTGTTTGAAGTTCAATCACGCATAAACCACTGGACGGATTGCGCTGAAATTTGCATGATGATAGTTTACATTCCCGATTAACATATAGGCATATTCTTATCTCAAAAATCCTTTCGGGCTCCGCCCCAGTGGCTCTGTAATTCCCCATGTTAACCTTATGAGTATTCATATTTAAAGGGAATTAAAGAATTTAGTCAACTGTTTCAACTAAAAAGTTGGTTCTATGATATGGAAAAGCATTAAAAAGTTATAAGATTTACCAACAGGGTGCAGCACTAAATTCTTTTTGCATTTATGAAAACAGCTAATTTGTACTAAGCAGCAACAAAAAACTGTGATTTGCAATGAGAACTGTCAAAGTAGGATTGTTTACAGTTATGTTTATGTTTTTCATTTCATGAATAATTTGTGAAATTTTGTGAATTGTTGATAATTTATTTTTCTCTATTGTTTAGGTGAAGTGGTAGAACATTATGGCTATGGTAGATGTGTAATACTATAGAATACTGTAAATTTAAAAAAGCAAATGTTATCAAACTGTGTCCTCCCTTATTGCAAACGCAAAGCTTGAGTATAACTGCAATAAGCATTTTATACTTATATTCCAACCCCGTACGAAGGACGGATACTCTGCTAGTAGGAAATAAATCTGACAATTGTAAAGGAATATTTTAGAAGAAATCCAGCCAGGTAAATGGAAATTCGCTTAGTCTACAGGTTTGCTGCAGCGGGGGTATTTTGTTTTAGTGTCCCAGAAGCTCAAATTACCATTTGTGTTAACTGTAGTTTACGTATATCTTTACGCGTTATAGCTCTAGTAATAACACTTGGATTTTGATGTAATTTATATCTCATTCATAAAGCTAAATCTAATTCAATAAGATTGTGAACCAGCCCATTTTTATCACAGAATTATTTTAGTTCAATACATCAAAAATATTTTTTGGTTTTTTTTTACTTTTTTTGCCAAAACTGTTAAAAGATTTACCAACCTACTGTTCATAGAAAAGGTTGAGAACTAATTTACAATAAATGTGGCTAGTACCATAGAAAATATATATGATTTTAAAAAATTGAGTTAATCCTTCAACAGTCTCAACAAACCCTGACAATGTAAATTAAGGTAAAGTGGCCTAAACCCCCCAAACTGCTGTAGGAGACATCAGTTGACCGGGATGGTCGGTGAGACACATTGGTGGTTGGATAAAATAATGAATTAGTCTTCGTAAAGAAGTTAGGTGCAGGCTATGAGGCAAGTGTATATGAATAGTAAATACAGGTTTATTTTACAAACCTGGTGGGTTTTCCCCTGTGCAATCCTTTGGTATCTTGTCAATACATTTCTTGTGAGCATTGTAGTTACAGTCTTTGCACTGCAGTCCTTGTTTGAAAAGCCCCTAAAGAAAACGCATTGTAAAGTGTCGTTTAAATGTATTCAACTTAGATTAAACGATTAAAGCTATTTATAGACATTCAAAAACCACAAATAAATTCTGGAATTTCAACAAATGTTCAGGTAACATGTTTGCAAACTCTTATTATTTATGCTAAACAGGCAACACCAAGAATCTACCGGGTTATCACGAAATAGAGATTGTTAAATGACGTTATTTAGATCAAAACCTTCCTTCAAGGTTACTTCTTTGCAAATAACCTTTTTTTATGGACTTTTCTTAACTATCAATAGTTCATTACATGTATAATTATTTATTAAGCAAATTTATGATAAAATTGCTTACATATTATTTTATGTTATAACAAGGTGGTTTACACACTTTGAGAAGTTTCTTGCAGTAACCGCACACTGTAGGTCTAGTGTAGCTGTGTAGTTGGAAGGTGTGAGGTATTTTGATGCGACCAGCCAACTCCTTGTCTACCCAGGCAGGTCGACCACCCAGAGACGGAGACCTGGATGTCTTGGGTACCTGCAGTAGAGGCTGGTTCTGTAACACAAGTAACCACAAGTTACACCAACTGTGGACTCCACACATTCTCACTTCAGATCTTTTAAAGCCAAGGAGGCAAAGCCCACGGTCAGTATGGAAATGTGAATAGTCCTATTATCATTCTTGGTATGGCAGCTATATTTTTGTAAAGTTTAAGCTCTGTCAGTTCAATAGTTTTTACATTAAATAGTAATACACATACAGACAGACACCATTAGATTTTTATACAGGGTGACCATAAAGTCTTAGGACGACTTTATAACTTTTAAACGACAAACGATATCACAACCACATTTGGTATACCGTTACTGGAAATTGTAAGCTACTTTTCTGTGTATATGGTGGTCGGATATCACCTTTGGGGGACGGCCCGTCGGGGGTCAGAAGAAAATCCTTAATGACAGCCTATGTTGAGTTGTACATCATTTTAAAGGTCTACTTCAACTGAAAACAATGCCGCAAACCGGAGTTCAAAAGGTTGATCCAGTCGGAAGAAATCATGTTTCAAAGTTTAAAAATGAAAAATACCATTATTACGTAAGAAATAATCTTACTCTTTCCTGTCGGCCGTCTGACATTGTGCTAAGTGTAATCAGGAAAACCTGCTGTATTAAGAAGTACAATGAAAAGTGAAAGCAGTGCCTCTAGGTCAGGGTTTCCCATCCACTGGACTTCCCCCTTAATGGCTTTTATCTGTCTAACAGTTCACTTATCAGTACCACTCAAGCTACAGTAGTTTTTGCAGCCATATCCTGTTACTATATATAAGATTATAAGTTTTAAAAGATGCCGCTTAGTGAGCGTGAAAGAATTACACTCTTAATGATGCGCGGCTAGGGTGATAATGCAAGACCGTTTGCAGCAGTCACACAATTATTCAATGTTACTTTTCCTGATAGAGCTCCTATTTCTAAATCCACAGCACAGTACACAGTTGCTCGCTTTGTAGACACTGGTACTGTTAAGGATCGTGCCAGACCTGGACGACCAAGTACTGTGACAGACGAAGACGGCTCATTAGACATTCTTCAGTCTTTCGTTGAAAATCCAAAACAATCAGTTAGATCAGCAGCATAATCTCATGGAAGTGGTCGTGAATCAGTTCGCAAAGTATTAAAGAAGTCTGGTTTCAAGGCATACCGGGTTACCCTGTTGCAGGAACTAACCGAAGATGATTTTGATCGCCGGATGGAATTCAGTGAAATCATGATGAATAGAATTGACCAAAGACAAATACTTTCGGACGATATTGTATTCTCAGATGAGTCGACTTTTATGTTGAATGGCCATGTTAACAGGCATAACTGCCGGTATTGGGATAATGTTAACCCACACTGGATGAGTGAGTGTCACACACAACACCCCCAAAAAGTAAACGTATGGGCAGGTATCGTTTACTTTTTAAAATTAAATGGTCTACGTAATTCAATTATAGGACCATTTTTCATCAATGGAAATTTAAATGCCAACAAGTATCAGGATATGCTCCAAAATAAGATTGTTCCTGCCTTACAAGCTACTCTGGGCGCTGACTTCCAATCATGCTTTTTCCAACAAGACGGAGCACCGCCACACTATGGTGTTCAGGTAATGCAATACTTAGATGCAGTATTCCCAGACCGGTGGATTGGAAGACGAGGTGTGATTGAGTGGCCAGCTCGTTCCCCTGACCTAACTCCGCTTGACTACTTCCTATGGGGCTATATCAAGGACAAAGTGTATCGAACTCAGCCTACAGATCTGAACGAACTGGATATCACATGAAGCTCAAGCTATTCCACGAGAATACATACAAAATGCAGTAGCCGCCTTTTATAACCGGTTAGCATATTTCCAGAAGACCGATGGTGGACATTTTGAACACCTACTTTAAAAGACTTTCTGTAAGTATTACCCTTAACTTCTATTAGCTACAGTAATAATGGTATTAAACATTTTTTAAACTTTGAAACGTGATTTCTTCCGACTGGATCAACCTTTTGAAGTCCGGTTTGCGGCATTGTTTTCAGTTGAAGTAGACCTTTAAAATGATGTACAACTCAACATAGGCTGTCATTAAAGATTTTCTTCTGACCCCCGACGGGCCGTCCCCTCCAAGGTGATATCCGACCACCATGTACACAGAAAAGTAGCTTACAATTTCCAGTAACGGTATACCAAGTGTGGTTGTGATATCGTTTGTTGTTTAAAAGTTATAAAGTCGTCCTAAGACTTTATGGTCACCCTGTATAATAGTATAGATATACAGGGTGTCCCTCGAGAGGTGTCTCAAATCGATTACTGGAAAACGGCTTAACGTACAAGGATGAAATAAAATTATTTCCAACTAAATCGACCCCAAGGAATAACGTAAAAATATTTTTAACTTTTTTCAAATACAGGGTGTGCCAAAAACTGAGGGTCACTAGTTCGAATCTCGGAATTTTCAAATGTAAACATATGTCATGTTATACATCATTTTAAAGGTATTTGATAGACAAACATTTTGGCGAAAATCAAAATTAGTTATCTTTTTCCGTTTCAAAATGGCGGCAGTTTTTTTGAAAGAAATCTATATTTTTTTAATACTCTGTATTTCCTATAGGCCTACCAATGCATTTAGCACTTCTCCGGTTGCATTTTCTTACTCGTTATGAAATTAGCTTTACTGTGATATGCAACAAGTAACGGTTTTTTGAAATAATAAAAATTCCAAAAAAATTTATTTTTGAAAATTTACAAATGCTCATTGTTCAAAATTTTCAAATAGCAACATATGTCAAGTGGCACATCATTCTATAGGTTTTTCAATTCCTAACAACTTTGTAATTTACACTTACTTCGTATCTCTTTTAGTTTTTGTGTAAATAACAAAAAACCTAATTTTCCTATATCAAATGCATGTTATTTGGGTTTGACATGGTTCAACACTAAATGAAATGAAGCCTTTAGTGTCAAACCCAAATAACATGCATTTGATATAGGAAAATTAGGTTTTTTGTTATTTACACAAAAACTAAAAGAGATACGAAGTAAGTGTAAGTTACAAAGTTGTTAGGAATTGAAAAACCTATAAAATAATGTGCCACTTGACATATGTTGCTATTTGAAAATTTTGAACAATGAGCATTTGCAAATTTTCTAAAATAAATTTTTTTTGGAATTTTTATTATTTCAAAAAACCGTTACTTGTTGCATATCACAGTAAAGCTAATTTCATAACGAGTAAGAAAATGCAACCGGAGAAGTGCTAAATGCATTGGTATAGGAAATACAGAGTATTAAAAAAATATAGATTTCTTTCAAAAAAACTGCCGCCATTTTGAAACGGAAAAAGATAATTAATTTCTGTTTTCACCAAAATGTTTGTCTATTTAATACCTTTAAAATGATGTATAACATGACATATGTTTACATTTGAAAATTCCGAGATTCGAACAAGTGACCCTCAGTTTTTGGCACACCCTGTATTTGAAAAAAGTTAAAAATATTTTTACGTTTTTCCTCGGGGTTGATTTAGTGGGAAATAATTTTATTTCATCCTTGTACGTTAAGCCGTTATCCCGTAATCAATTTGAGACACCTCTCGTGGGACACCCTGTATATATACAGTAGAACCCCAGTTAACCGAAACGGTTCCATAAATTAATACAGAGGGCTAAAATATAATTACAATATGTAATATCATTGACTATTGGATACTGAAGACTATTAACACATTGTAGTAATAGTCAAAGGTAATATATAAACAGCGAGGTGTAGCGCTAAGCCCCTCTCTCTAGAAAGGGGCTTTTCTGACCCTTTGTAACATTTGTGTAGTTTAAATAAAACATTGTATTATACAGACATTGTTTTAAATTCATTTCTCCTACACACCGTGGTTATACATAGGCAATTTTTAGCATATGCAGGTTAACCGAAAAATTGGTTGTCTGAAACGGCTCTCCCCCTCCTTTATTTTGGTTGGTTGAGTTTGGTCGAAAATTTGGTCTCAGATTTTTTGTTTATTATTCAATTATGATTATAAATTCAAAGTGAGAAATTTTTTTTATGTTAAATATTAAGGGAGATATGGAGCTTGAAAGTAGTAAATTTGTCATATTTACTTACCATTTCACTGGGGGAATGGGTAATGCGATTTGTTTTGATTTTCTGTTTATATTTTGATGTTATTTCGTCACTAGCATAAGGCCCGTATTAATTTGTTTAAATTTTTAATTCATTTTAGCGAATTTCCCATATAGGGAATAAGCTATTACCGTAGGTCTCATGGTAAGACCTACACCCGGGACCGATTTACTTTTTCGTTTTGAGGTCCCCAGAGACCAAAAACACCATCCGTTCAAATTCATATATATATATATATATATATATATATATATATATATATATTTATATATGTGTCCGTAAGCGCGATAACTCGAGCAAAAATGATCCGATTTTGATGAAATTTGGTACAAACATGTAAACCGACGTTTATTCGAACGAGTTCGCGAACCAGCATAATCGGACCATGGGAACAGGGGTTTATGGGGGGTTTTATGGGGTAAAATGGGTTTTTCCCATTTTTTACCCTAAAAACAAAAAATTTTGCAATTTCTTTCACAACCATTTTGTAGAGCTTAAAAAAAGAAATAATTTAGCATATTGAAGCGCTGTTGTATGCCTAATGGTCACGGAGAAAATTAAAAAAAAACCGTGTAATTTAAAATTCCCATGTTATTCTTATGGAGAAAATGAAAACTGTTGTAGTTTACTTGTTTATGGATATATGTTGATAAAATTTGGCAAATTTATTTATTTCATCCTATACTATTGACATATGGCCAAAAAACACTTTTTACCTTCCCCGTAGCAGCAAACCTAAGCACTTGTTAAATCTAATGTTATTTAAATTGGGAATAAATATGTCTTATTTATGGAAATATTTGAGTAAAAATGTAATCAGAGAAGTTGAAATTCGCTTAGTCTGCAGGTTTGCTGTGGCGGGGGTATTTTGTACTTATTTTTTTAGCCTA